GAGATCTCTGTACAAACACACACACACACACATATGACCTCTTCCTCTCTCTCCCACCCCCACGCCCCCCACCCCCCCAGACACTGCCATCCATTGTGTTTTCTATATAACAAGCTCTCGACATATGGATGGGAGGTGACCATGTGGCATAATGGAACAAGGGCTGGTTTGGGAACAATCAAACTCCGGTTCCAGTCCCCCCAGCTGTGGGATTTACTAGCTGTGTTAGCTTGGTCAAGTTTCTTAAACTTTCCGAGTCTCGGTCTCCTTAACTATGACATGTGGTACTTGTGAGGATTGAAAATAACTCAGATGAAATAACTCTGGCCCATAGCACCAGGTCTGGTCCACAGCATCGGTCAAGAAATGGGAATCACCAGGAGCTCCTCATCCTTACTCCAGCTCTAGCATTAAGAACCTTTCTGTTGAGCAGGGAGGCTTGTGGAAGAGGAAATGTACTCTCCCCTTGGCTGAGCGACCGTGCCCATGGGCAATCTTTTACTTACTGTCTGTTTTCATATTCACCCGCCTCAATTCACCCATCTCCATGTACTCCATGGGGCCTGCATGTGCCTGGACCCTGGCTGGCTAGATGTTACTGGTTTACCAGGGGCCACGTGGCTCGGAGAGAGGTTTCTGTTCTTTGAGGTTCCTGCAGGTGGATCCTATTGAGATTTAACTCAGGTGTTTGTCCCTCAGACACCGCTGAGGGCCCTCTCCTCTTTCTGTTTCTCGCTGTCCCTGAACAGTAATAGGGTAACATTTTCTGGTCCCCGGAAAACAGCCTGCTCTTGGCGTGTTTCTATTGTGCATCATCTATGTTTGGCCTTGACCCTCCTGTGTTCTGCACTGTGAGCAGAATATCAAGTGGGCTGGAGAAGCAAGCCAGGCACTGCCAGCCCAGTGTGTGCATTGTCAGGGGGAATATCATGCTACGTGCACAGAAAATAACTTCCTTTTCTCATTTTATAAATTAGCTCAGCGATCCCTGAGATTATGAGCCTTTATTCCCATAGACAGTGCTTTAAAGGGGAAAAAGAAACAATAACAATGGAATCAGAATACAGTTCTCTGGGCAGTTCCAATCAGGAAGCGTGGGTAGGAATACGGTCTAGAGATTCTTACAGCACCCAAAAGCTCTCCATCATCCCCGATCCCACTTTCTCTCCTAGCCTCACCCCTACTTCGGCTGCTTTATCACAAAAAGCTCTGATGAAAAGCTTGTGATCTCAGCTGGGGCTGCCGGGCTGGGGAGAAGAAAAGGGGTCCTCTTTCTAGAGGAGAAAGGTCATGCAAAATGCTGGATTCCTGTGTCTGGGAGGCAGCCGACCAACCTTTTCAGATACAGGTTTGTCCTCTGTCATAGAATTTGTCATAGAAGCAGTGACAATTTTGTCATAGAAGCAGTGATAATCAGAGCGAGGAATGTATAAATCATCTGGACCTACCCCTACAGATGAGGAAACTGAAACCCAGAGAAGGTAAGTGACTGGACCGAGGTCCTCACTCAGCTGACGAGGGGCTGGCCTGGGACCCCCGTGAGCCTGACTGCACTTCTCAAAGCAGAAGGGTTCCCAGGGGAGAAAAAGGCATCTCTTTCCCATCTCATTTTATTCCAAAGTACAAAACCCATTCCTATTTTTTCTTAATCTACTTTTAAACTCTAATGACTAGTTCTAGTGTTAAATACTTCACATAATTTACTTAATTAGCTAATTGCTAACAATGTGAAGTCATTTTCTTTGACCTTTTATAATCCTTGTTCCTCCCACAGAAAACAAGGTCCTATCATCAGTGTTTTGGTGACATTGGCATAAAAAGTGAATGGCTTGACATAAAAGCAGAGTCTAGTTCTGGAATGTCTGGCTTTCCTCCACTGAACACCCGGTATTCCCTTATAAAGTAGAGTGTGTGTGTATGGAGGGATGGGTGGGGGCAGCGGGAGGACATTTTTGAAATTAGGAGCATTACCCCCACCTGTATATTTACTGATCCTAGAGGTGAGTTAATGAAGTAAGTTTGAAAGATTGGGACCACAGAGACCTAATGTCGAGTCTCACCTCTACCCTGTCCTCGCTGGATCACTTTGAACAAAGAACCTGGCTCCAAGACTCTGTTTGACTATAATATGGATTTAATAATGGGGCCTATTTGATAGAGTCATTATGAGAATTAAGTGACTTGATATGTGTATAAAGTTTCTAAAACTGGATGTGGCATGCACTAAGACTTCAACCAATGTTCATTATTATTACTGTTAATAAATACTTACAGGAGTATTTGAAGGTTCAGAAAAATAAGAAGAAGGAATGCTGCCTCGATTCCCTCCCTCCGAGTTTGCTACTTTTCCACCATGGAATCATCATGGTATCACAATGTATGTATAATTTATCAGGCTGCTTTTTCCATTTAGCATTCTTTTGTGAACATCTTCTCTTATTCTTCAGACACATGACTTTTAATGTCTACAAAGTATTTCATAAACAGACATACCGTCATTTATTTAACTCTGTCCCTATTGTTGCCGTTCGGTGTGTTTTCCCCATTTTTTTTCTCCTTTGTAAATATTTTGGCATATAAATCTTTGTACTTTTGATCATTTTCTGAGGCTAGATTCCTAGAAGCAAAATTATTGGGTCAAAACATAAACATATGTCAGAATCTCAATTCAAACTGTGAGTTGCTTTGTAAGAAGAAGCAGTGCTTTACTTTGTAAAGCTCATTTGCCAAAGCCGTGCATGTCAACATTTCCCACTGGGCTGTCATTGGGAAAGGGGTAGTCGAATACTTAATGTCTGTAGTCAATCGAAAATTAATTTCCTGTTCCTTTTCTTCCTGGGTTGCCTAGAGGACTGTTGGAAATGGCCCTGACCGGGGAGTCCTTCGGGATCTCCTCCTCAGGAAGCCTCATGTACTCTGGTTCAGAGACGCTCAAGCCCGAGCCAACCTTGCAAGCCCAGTTGACCTAATTCAGTCTTCTGACCAGTGGAATGGCATCCAGCATCACATCCAGCTTTAAAAGCTTTCAGAAAAGGTGAGCCCCTGGCTTCTTTGCTTAGTCTATTGTTGTGTGGGTAATACCCCTTATTTGTTAGAAAGTTACTGCTTAAGCTCATCCCCTAAATCCTTGACCAATTTAGTCCTGTTAAGCAGAAGTCTTCCGGAACGTGCGGTCTCCATAGTGTGTGGGTGGTGACCACATCACAGGAGTGCTTTGCCGGTACCTTTCTAGGTCCAGCACAGGGATGCCTGCTACATGGCTTAGATATTGCTAAGCTTCTCCTCATGCTTCTCTTCCTTGAATATAGAATTTTCACCTTTCCCGGATTCACCCTTTCTATCCTTGCAGATGCTCCCCTCCAATCCAGGGCTCCCATTCTTCTAGCCTCAGATGCTTCTTACTTCCCTAAATGGTCTCTCTGCTGCTAAAGTGTTCCTCCTCCAGTCTGTCCTATGTAGAGCCACCAGGTTCGTCTCGCTTAGACATAGTTCTAAGCCTACCACTCTTCGCTGAGGACCAGATTAAGCACGCTCTTAAGGCCATCCATTGTGTAGACTCTGTTTCCTGGTTATCCAATAACACTTTCCAGCCAAATCATACTACTCTCTGTTCCCGAATGGGCCCAATCCTTGTCAGATTCGTTATTTTCCTTTTGCTTAATTGCCCTCCCTTTCCCCATGTCGCTCTTGAAATTTCAGGGGCACCTGGGTGGCTCTGTCGGTTGAGCGACGGACTTTGGCTCAGGTCACGATCTCACAGCTCACGAGTTTGAGCCCCGCGTCGGGCTCTGTGCTGACAGCTCAGAGCCTGGAGCCTGCTTCTGCTTCTGTGTCTCCCTCTCTGTCTGCCCCTAACCCGCTCGCATTCTGTCTCTGTCTCTCTCAAAAATAAATAAACATTAAAAAAAAAATTAAAAAGCAATAAAAAAGAAATTTCATCTACTCATCCCAAATATCCATATATGAAGCCTGTCTTAATGCCCTGTTGCCAGAATGAAAGCTCAGCCACCATGAACACCTGTGCACATCACTTCCCTTTTCTCAATTTTCCCCATAATACAATATTTTCTAATCCTCCCTTTGTCCCAATCTTGGTAGCTAATAACGATTATCTACCTTTATTATCTATCTCTTGTTATCTAATCCTCCCTTTGTGCTAGCCTCTGTAGAGAATAAACTCCTGGAAGGCTGAACAGTGCTTGCCTCTTCATTGCACCCCTTACATCCCCCCAGAGAGTGCCTTGTACATGGTGGACACTCAGGTTCTGAGACAGAAGTTCTCTGACACAGCCCCCCTCTCACACCGCCACAGAGTGGGAGCAGCACAGCTGCCTGGATTTATTGCTTTTCCCAGGAGAGGCAATTATAGTGCTTTATCTTCCCCTTTGGCTTTCAGCCAGTGGCTCTACACCTAGTTTTTAATTTTCTTTTGTTTGAAGGGATGTTCTGTCTCCTCAGTCAAAACAAAATGATGACGGTAATAAGAGTTGCTGCTATTTATTGAAAGACTACTATGCGCTGGACGTTGTGCTTTACATACGGGATCTCATTCATTAGTCTCCATATAAACCTTACAAGTTAGAGATATGATTATTCCCCTTTATGGATGAAAAAATTGAAGCTCAGAGAAGTTAAAAATCTTGCCCCCATGTCACTAAGGTAGATTAGAGTTTGAGTCAAGAGTTGAACCCAGATCTGTGGGCCCCAGTCCCTTCTATTGTGTCCCACTGGAAAAGGATGGCTTGAGGGTGGGTAGGCGTGAAGCTCTGGCTCAGTTTTCCTGGGATCTGAGAGCCTTGGGCTTTGTAGTTGGGGGAAATGCGTACTCCCACTGCAGCTCAATTATGCTAGTTATGCCAAGCCCCTGGTGCCCCTTCATCCTGTCGCATTGCCTACAGGAGGGCAGGGAGATGGCGTGAGGCCACTGCTTGGATCTGAGTGCCCCTGGTGCCCCCAAGGTCTTTGGCTCTACACATACTCTGTGCTTCTTCCATAGACCTCCAGAGCTCCCAGACCTATCACTGCACAAGGTACCCTGGACATTAAATTATCGGAAATCCGACAGTTTAACACAGTCTCCGGGTCATCTGTTTGCTGGGGAGAAGACAGTTGAATATGGGTGTGATGTATGCCGAGACTGAGACAAATGTCTTCCTTTAGGCATCAAAACTAGGTAAGTCGGGATAGTTCAATGCTAATTTTTAAAGAACTCTGGAAAATAGCATTCTAGCACAGTGCTTGAAATACACTAGTTATTTAATAGACATTAATTTCCCTTATTCCATCTAACATGTTAGCTTGTCACACTGGTTACCTACACACACAGTGAGCGGTGTTATATAGGAGAGTGACCCGGGCTTAGGGATCCTGAGTTTATAACAAGCAGTAAGTATGCCTGCCTTTTCCTCTGGTGGGTGATACTATCTCTACCTTTCCAGGTCATTTGCTATACAGATGTCCTTGAGAAGACATTCTGGAATAAAGGGAACTATAGCTTTGCTTGTAAGACATGTATGTAGAAATGCATGAGATCCATGAAGAATCATCTCCTAACACCCACCTCATGGATCTTTTTTTTGAGGATTAAATGAACTGACATATTATATCAGTCAGGATAGTTCAGGTTATGCTGCAGTAACAGATGACTTCCTAAGTTTCAGTATCTTAAACCTCCAAAGACATTCTTCTTGCTAACGCCACTCGCTCTTGGGAGTTAGCTGGGCACTCTGTTCCAGATTATCCTCACTCTGGGTCCTAACCTGAAGGAGGCTTCATCATGTGGCACATCATCATGGGAGAGGGAAAGTGAGTGTGCAAAATAGCATGCTGGCTCTTAAAACTTTATCCCAGAAAGAATGTGTATCTCTTCTGCTCACATGTCCATCCCCAAAGCAAGTCATGCGGCTAAACCTGACTTTGAGGGAGAAGGCAAACATGCCCAGAAGAAGATCTAAGATACTTAATTCGTGGGCAGCATGAAATACTACTAAAGAAATGCAAAGTCCTTGCACAAAGTTTGGCACCTGAGAAATCGTGGCTTCTCTCTTCCTTTCCATTCCTGGAGACATGAGTTTGGGAAGGGTCAAAAGTGTGGGTCATTGGTCCGGAGGAAGCTCATAGTGATCAGGGATTCAGATTATTCTCTGACTGTCTGTGGCTGTGGTCAAGAAAATGTGCAGGATTTCCAGAGTAAAGTTATGTGCCCAAGCTTGCAAATCAGATTAATCAATACTAATTGCTAACATGCATTCAAGTTCACAAGTTTGTTGGTCAACACTAACAAAGAAGGAACAAGAATTTCTCCCAATCCCCAATTATTGCACAGAGATAATAACTAGATTGAGAGAGAGAAAAAAAATGTTGATTTATTTTTATTCATGAAGCAACGCAATCACAGATTCAATAGCTGAAATACTTCCTGACCTGAACTGTTCCCCCCATCTGACTAGAAATCATTGAATGCCATAGAATGAAATAAACATTAAGGATCATCACAGCCTCCATGCTCTAGAGTTAAACAATGCCAGATGGGTATTAATTCATTTCTTCAAAAGATATTCATAAAGCTTCCCCTGCCCCAACCTGTCAGGTTCTGTGTTCAGCGTCTGAGTACAAGGTGCAAAACAAAACAGACATAGTTCCTGACTCCATGGAACTTAGAGTCTAGAGGGAAAAAAAAGATTGTAATAAAAGGAACCCTTATTCAAGGCTTGCTTACTAGGGCCTGGGCACCGGGCTGTGCAATGTTTGCATTTCATCAAAGACTCAACAGCCTGCGGTGGTTTATTATTCACAATAACCATGTGGAGGTAGTGGGAAGCATAGCTTTGACCCAGTGTAGTCAAAGCTCAGAAAAGTTATTCTACATATTCCGTGGGTACCAGAGTTTTTAGGACAGAATTCAGGTCTCAGTAGCTCAGCGTACAGATGTATCCACACCCAGACATCGTCACTAACCTGTATCACAAGAACCACCCTTGTTCATGGGCTGTGGATCCCCCTTCTCCAGGCTGTGCCTTGTCCTCATTTACATCCTCCATCAATGAATGAGTTAGAGAACTCAGTGCGCATCGATTAGGTGCCAGGCAATGCGCACCTACAGTTATCTTCCTACAATTACCTGCAAGGGTAGGAATGACTACGATCACTTTGCAGCTGACTAAATGGAGGATCAGAACATGAGAAGACACTTGCCTGTTATTCCAGGGCTCGAAATTGGTACAGGCAGCCAGGATTCGACCCACCCTGTCTGAGCCAGAACTCTTCCCAGGGCCACGATGTTGTTCTTCCTCCCTGCCGGCAGGCCTGACCAGTGGATGTTTCCAGACCTATAACCATGGCTCCCGCCTGACATCCCTAAGTCCCCCTGCAATAATGCCAGGTTATGAAATCCAGGCAGCTCTAGCAGAAGCAGACTCATTCTGGGAACACCTGCCTCTCCTTACGGCAACAGTATAGCTTCCAGCTCTTAACTCACCTATTCTAATGAACCCAGCAAACATTGATTAAGCAGTGGCAGGCCCTGAGGCTAATGCGATGAGCCCAGTGCAGCTCTGGTCTCCAAGGCCTTAAAATCGAGAGTGTGAGCGAAACTTAGAGCCACAGCAAGTAGAAGGCAAGTAGACTTAACACAGGGTTATAACAAATAAAGTGTAACAGGAGAACAAGGAGAGAGAAACTCCTACTAGGCAGTCTAGGAAGACTTTGGGGGGCGATGTGATTTTCAGGGCCTTGAAGGATGGGTAAGACTCAAGTGCTAGAAGCCAGGCAGTGAGGGGGATGGAGGGAAAGGGTGAATGTGAAGGAGCCAAGTCCTGCAGGCACAGGAAGGTGCTATTTCTCCCGGAAACTGGTAAGCCTAGGGAGAAGTTGTTTTTCCAGAACACTCCAAGGCTGACCCATTTTCACAGAGGCCCCAGGGAGGAGCAGCTTGTGGAGTGGGGGTGGGGGCAAGTGCGATCAGAGGGGCTGCTTCAGGGGTGAGCTGAGAAGAAAGAACACTCTGGACACTTCGAAAGTCTTATCCGAAAAGGAGCCATCTGGTCTGGTGCGGAGTACCAAGCAAACTTTTTATTTTCTTCAGGCATCTGGGCTTTGTGGAGGGATCTGCGGTGGCTCCCTGGGCTGGTGAAGGGCCAAATCTCTGGTGCCTGAAGCCTGACTGGTCCCAGCCTCCACACCTCTGCACAGAGCGGTCCTCACAGTGAGCTGCTGAGCTGACAGCTGTCTCTTTCGGAGCCCTTTGGGTCTGCCGCCCCATGCTGTCCCCTTGAGAGAGAAGCATGGTAGGCTTTTTTTAAATCCTGGCCAGTTACATCTGGGAAAAACAATCCAAATATTAATCCATCTGGAGAGAGAATGAATCCATCTCTTCTGCTGCTGCCTGTATCTTTTCATTCTCATTTCTGGATCTTTAAATCACATTATGAAGCCAGAATGAACGCCCTGCAAACCTGTCTCCTACCCTTCAGGCAGCCTTTTAGACCTTTCTTTGTGCCCTGTCTCCTTATGCTCCTGCCTCACAGAGCTCCTTTCATCTGGGTGTGGCGCAGCCCGTGAAACAGAGAAACAAAGCTTCACTACACCCCCATGAGGAAAGAGGCAATCATAACTTGCCTTCCTCCTGCCAGGGAGGGGACAAAACAAGGACGGTGCAGTGATTTGGTCACAGTTCCAGCTCCTCCTGCCACCCTAACGCAAGGATTTGGCGACAACACCCTGCACTCGTGTGCTTTCATAGGAGGGGACTTACATGTTCAAGAAGGAACTTGGTACATTTCTTCCTAAACTGGATCCTCCTCCTGCATGCATTGTTGGGGGAAAAGCAACAACCAATCACCCCAGCTGGGAACTTTCAACTCTCCCAGGCTTTAGAGATGTACCGGGGGTCCTAACGCTCATGCCTAGGCTGCTTCTCTCCAGTTCTCTGCGACTCCTTTCGGCGCCCTGCTTGCCTGCATTACTACCACAGCTTGCTCTCCACAGTCCTGTTTCTGCTGCGTTTCCCTCCAAATCCAACCTCCAGGCTGCTGTCAGAATAATCTTTCTGAAATACACTTAGATAGGTCATGCCTCTGCTCAAAACACTTGTCCTAAGATTTCAACCCCTTACCCTGGCCTAGAGGCTCCACGTTCCATGCCCCAGCGTACCTGCCCAACCTCCTTTTCCACCTGTGCCCCTCCACACTCTCCATAACTGGCCACTTAGAACCACTTTCTGTTCACTGTGCGTGATGCATCATGCCTTTGCTGGTGTTCCCATGCACGACTCTGATCCTCTGGCGCAGTTCGCTCCTTCGCGGCATGTTGTGTCTTTACTGGGTTTCCGTTAGGGCTCATGGTAGGATATCAGACATTGTTTACGTACTGCCTCATCTCTGGCCCCAAATCACCTGTGTGTTCTTTCTCAGCTAGTGTGGTGTCCTTCATCTTGGCATTGCCAGGACCCAGTGGAGTGCCTTGCAAATAGTCGATAGAGTTTGCTGAATCAGGAGGGTGATCACATCTGTTCACGGAAAAGGCAGAACTAACAGACAGGGAAACAGAGGCCAAAGACTGTTGAGAGGTTTTCCCAGTCTCGTGCTGTGAATTTAAGTAGCAGTGCAATGACTAAACCCAAGGCTTCTGGTTTCCAGATTATCACACCTCTGTAGTCCCTAGAACCAACACATCGAGCAAGCCTGTAGGGGAGAGTTTGTATTTCTCTATGTGTCACAGATAACCTTCATTCATATATTCAACGTGTACTTGTGTGTTTAACAAGTCAGGAAGGTCCCCTTTCCCATGAGAAGCTTGCTACTGGAAACAGAGAAAAATAGATAACAAAGTACATAAATCAGATATAAGGTGAGTGGACAGGAGTCAGAACAGGTGGAAGCTTAGAGGCCATCATAGGCGGCCCAGATTCTATTCTAACAGCAGTCATTGGCTTCTAAAAGCCAGGAGTTTGACAGCTGTGGAACAGGAGTTGGGAACAGAGTGACACAGGGAGAGGAGTTACTGCACTGCCTCTGAAGGATGCGACAGTGACTTGGACCAGGGTGGCGGAAATGCAGGTGGAACAAGGTGGACTGATTTGGGATTTATTTCAGACGAAACCTGCCCACACTTGCAATGGGTTGGTTGTGGCTAAAGTCTTTGGCCTGGAAGAAGGGTTATTAGCCATTGTTCTCATTTATCCCCATCAAATCGATGACCACAGAGGCAGTGTTAGAATTCTCGGGTCATCAAAAGATTCCAGCATTTGGTAGACACCCGTTATTTCTGTGAACGACCCCACAATATTTTATTATGTGAATGATGTCGTCAGAGCCTCCTTTGGGAGTCAAAGTTTGTCTTCTACCTCTTAAGGCCATGGGCAATGGCAATAGGACCCTGGATGGGACCATTCTGGGTTTGTGTGTGGCCCCTGGTTGTGCCTTGCACGGTTTGACGTGAGGGCCAGCATGGTATAGGAAGAGATTAAGATTTGAAGCTGTACAGTGCCCGTTTCAAGCTGTGTGACCTTGGGAAGGGTTTCCAACCTCTCGAAGCCTCAGTTGTCTCATCTATAAAATGAACTTCAAGAATACATGACTCACAGAGTCTGTGTGAAAATTTAATGACCGAAGTAAAGTACTTAGAGGGCATTCTTGCCTTTGATTCTCCCCAGAACCAATATGTGGGGAAAGAGGAAAGTTCGGGAAAAGGAGGGAGCATTCTTCACATTCCCTCCCAATAGCTTGGGCCCCGATGTAACTACACCCCCAGAACAAGAACCTTCATATTCCTAGTAGGTATTCATCTGGGTTTAGGGAAGAAAACAGTATGGGGCACTGTAAGGTATCCTTCTTACCAGCTAGTAGCTTGCTCTTTTCTCTGTCTCCATTGAGGGTAACCGTAGCTTGAGTAATGACAACATGATAAAGATGTCCATCTCCAGTCAATACCATGGCATCTGGTGTTTTGCATCTGGGCTTGCGGGGTAGGTGGAAAGTATAAGAGGAGACTCCTGTGAGGACCTTTCTCTTATTGACCTTCATATGAATGTGCGGTTTTGAGTTGGTGAGCAAAGAGGGGCACCTCTGTGGGCTGGCGTGAGCTCCTCTGATGTACGTCGTTCCTGGAAGATCACTCACCTGGAGACGAGGTAGTCTTTGGACAGGAGCCAGAACTTAGAAGGGGGTCTTAGTCAGGCGTGATAGGGAGTTTTCTGGCTTTCTTGGGACTCTGCTTTCTTTGATAAGGACTTTGGGGGATCTAAAGCAGGGATGACAAGTTGGTATAACTTTGGCTGATTGGTAGTTGATACCTAGAGACTGTGTCCAAGTCTGCGCTCAATGAGGAAGAGTGCTGTGGTTGATTGGGGATGTCTGCCCTGAGCAGCCTACAGGGACATGTAGCAGGTAGGTTGTGAATTGGCCATTCTTGGTATGGAGATTCGCGGGATCCCTCCAGGATGGCAGGGACTAAACGTGACCTTCACCACATGGAGGCAGAAGGGCAGCCAGGCAGGGAGACCTCCCCATTGAGGCCAAATACTAAAGATGGATAAACTACATTGTGTAAGCCAGATGATCTGAGTGCTTATTATTTTTGTTGACTTATCTTTTTGAGCCCCTTGCTCTTAGTGTAATCTTCCAAAACTTTTGTTGGCCGGGCCTCTGCCTTGTCACAAGGGACTGGTGGAGGGCACGTGCCTGGGCTGGAGGACAAAGGAGAGGGACAAGCCCCTGAAAACAGTGAGGCTGGCCATGGATGGCACCCGAAGACCCCAAGGAGATGGCGAGCCTCAGGGCCCATGCCTCCCTCCTCACATGTGGATTTCCTCTCCATTGCTAGCTGCAGGCCAGTGGAATTCTAATGTTCTATAGGCAGCATTCCATCTTTTTTTCACTTCACCTTTTCCAGAATTTTGCCAAAGACTATTGTCAAGATAGTTATTCAACCATTTCACTTCTTAATTCCATTAGGAAAAGAAGGGAAAACTACATAAGAGGGGAAAGAAACCAAGAAGACTGAAATTGGACATTTACCAAATATTTTTATGTATGTTTTTATTTTTTATGTATGTTTTTCTTTATTTTTTAAAAACTACCTTATTGAAGTATGACTGATGCTTAAGAGGCTGCACGTATTTAATGTACACAGCTCCATAATTTTGGGAATAAATATACATCTGTGAAACTATCACCACTTTCAGGCCATAAAAATCTCCCAAAGTTTCTTTCTGCCCCATCATCATCATCATCACTATCATCATCATTATTTGTGGTGAGAACACTTTTATCTCACAATTACCCTATGAAGTAAGCACTATTGTCACTATCTAATTAATGATGCAACTGAAGTTCAGAGAGGGCCGGGCCCAGTCCCCAAGTCTCAAACCCGGTGGAAAGCAGAGCCACACCCCTGGCCCCAGGCATGACAGTCCCCAGTGTGCATGCTCCTTGGCTCTGTCATACCACGGAGCGTGGTGGGGTTTGCAGTCCTGACAGGGAGCCACGGAAGGAGTGTGGGCTCCCCCAGGCTGAACGCCGGCAGGGATTGCTGCCCAGGAAATAGCCAGAAAGCTTCATCTCCCGTGGCAACCTGGCGTCTGGGAGGACAGGAGAGGGCTGAGGGCTGGGAAGCTCTTGTGCCCTTTGAAATGGGGAAGGGAGCATCTTCCCTGCCCAGAGGGGACACTATGAACCCAGGTGACCGCAACCTTCGCCCCACTGCTGAGCCCAGAATACCTAGAGCCTGAACGATGTTGTATTCAAGGGGCCCTTCCAGGAACTGCTGTCTGGTGCTCTGTGCTAAAAATGCTTGTAATCACAGGATTTACTTTACAGATTTCTTTTTTTATTCATAAAAATTCAAAGAACTGAATGGGGTGTTGCCTATGTGACTTTCCCCAGTTTGAATGGAAATTGTGTAGCTAAATCAGGGAGCGAGATGTCCTTGAGTTCTGTGTGCGTGTGCGTGCGTGCGTGTGTGTGTGTGTGTCAGGGATAGAGGTAGACATGATTTGACTTGATGTCACTATGAAATATTTTTAGAGACCTTTAGAATTCTCTGTAATTACACTATCTATACTCGGGCCTAGTGTTATTGTTCAGGTGACAAAATACTGGCTGCTAATTACAATAAACAAAGGATTTCATTTCTCTAAAAAAAGGAGTCCATAGCTTCTCTTTGCTTAAAGCAGCCTAAAATACCTACTGGGATTTTCTTCTTCTTTATTTTTTTAGTGGCTAAGACTGGCACACCAAGACAATTTTTATCATGATTACATTAGTATGGTTTGCAAACAAGGCAGCGT